AAGTTACAAATGTCTGCCGGACCCGTTACGCCGTGCCGGTTCTACCTACCCACCTACTCGTACCGTCCGTCCATCCGTGCGTCTGTCCGCGGCTGGTGCGTGCCGCCGTCCCGTTTGGCCGTCCACCCGGCGGGCCCGGCTCCCCCGGGGCCAAATCTGGGGAAGCGCTGGGCGCCAGCTCCGGTGGCGGTGGACGTCGCAGGTCATTAGAGTTCCGGTAATGGGCCGCAGCACCGCCAGAACGGGCCAAGTTTATCCGTTAGCGACCGGTCTCTGTGCCGCGCGCACTGGACACAGGTGAAACGGCGGGCCAGAGCGGACAACTGCCGAAACAACGGCCAGACGGCGGCCGCCCGTCGCCGGTAAACGGCTCAGAGACCGAGCTGGCGGGGCTCTCAGAACGGAGTTGAAGCCGAATGGTTCTACTTGAGGGACGAGACGGCGGGTGCAGTGGGTGGAGCTGGGAGGAGAGGAGGGTGACTTCCTGTCACCTACAGACAGTAGCGATGCAGACTACGAAAGACGGTAAAAACTACGCGCCTATCAGTGCTCTGATTGCTTCTATATGTATTGTTTCGTATAAGCACATAATTCAGGCCATTCATATAACTATAACTTAAGACTACCTAAGTGAATACTATCACTACCTACCGTAGTAGCGATTTTTTTCGCGAGATATTGCCTCCAACCAGCTGTGAACCGCTGCGGCCACCGCCTGGCGCGGCTCCGTCAGCTCGGTGGCGCCGTCGCCTCCCGGCGTCTCAGCGCGCCCCGGATCGATCCCGAGGACCGCCGCTCTCTGAGACGACGCGGCCGCCGCCGCCGCGTCGCCGCCGTCGAGGAGCCATTCGCCGAGTGGGTCGCCAGCCGCGGCGGAGATCGGCCTTATTAAAGTGCCGCTGGACGACGGCAGAGCGACACCAACCGCTCGTGCCGCCTCGAAACAATCATGGCCGCGGCGGCGGACACGGCGGTAAATGGCGCCAAGACGCCACTTTGGGAGCAAGCAGCGCTCGCCGCCGCCGCCTCCGTCGCACCACCGCCGCCGCCGCCCGGAAAAATTGAATTGCAAATCATTGTCGTACGGGACAGACAATTTTCCAGTCTCTGTTTGAAAAATGCCCCCCGGAGAGTCGTGAGATGAAAATTCAATTATCGGTTAGGAAATGGCGCGCGCTCAGTTGGCGGGAAACGTCGAGTACACGGCGGTAGTCTGAGACAAATGGGGGACGGCAGTGGCCGGCTGGGGACCCGGCGCCGGTCGGCAGCGCCGGCCCTGGATTGGGTGTCGGCCGGCCCGCGCACCACTCGGCTCAGTGTGGTCCGACCAAAGGGACCGCGACCGGGGAGGGTCAGAGGTGAACGCTCCTATCCGTTTGATGACGAGGGTGAGCGAAATAAGGGGTGATAATATGGCAGAAAGTATGGATAAATGGCGATATTGGCAGTGCATTTGGTAAAAAGGCTATGAATTTGCTGAACGTACAGAATCATTAGGCAGAAGCAATGTATGGCTTGTCGCATCGGGAATCAGGGCACTTCCGTCCCAACTGGGATATGCTCAGTTAGTCACTGCGGTGCATCAGTCAGTAGTAGACTCAGCCAAACATTTCTCTCTATCCTGTTATCTCATGAACCTGAAATGGTCTGAACTCTTACTAGACCTATTCAGGACCTATTCACACGCATAAAACAAACACAAAAATTCCAGTTGCAAGGTGTAGTGTAGGTATGTACCTAGCTAATTTAGACAATTGAAACACGAAGCATTGCTGTAATTATCTTTGCAGAAGAACAGCTGGTGTTTCGATCTCATATTGAAAAAAAAACTAATTAAAAAACATCAAAAGTAAATTAACCCTCGCCCGCACATGGGGGGGGGGGGTTGCCACCCCCCCCCCCCAGGTAGTCTTTCTGCTCTGCACTCAACATTTTTAGAGCTAGAAGGCTGATTTTTCGTATAGCTGCTCCTCTATCCTTTCTTGATGTCCACTGAAAATTTCAAGTTTCTGTGGTTTTTGGTTTCGGAGATATGACCTTGTTTTTCAGGTCATGTCATGACCCAAATGGCCAATTCTCAACATCTTGCGTTGCCTATGGGTCTTGTGAGCTTTTGACACCTTGATTTCGGCCTTTTTTACCAGTCTTACCTCCCACCTATCATGGAACATGTTGTTTGACGATGTACAGATGTCAAGGTCAAGGTCAAGGTCAACCTAGGTCATCTAATATCATTGCGTTTTAGGCAAGCGGAATTTACTTTTTGTGAATTTTTTTTGACTGCATTTTTGGTAAAAGCTTCTCAGATCATGATTTCATGTAATATGGACACATAAACAATCGGTGCACACATCAGTATACACACAGACACACACAGACATACAAACACATATAATTGACCTTGACCTAACTTGACCTGAAATGACCTCAGCAGCAAAAACCTGGTCGGGTAGTGTGACAAAGAGGTTGTAGCTGGCTTGGCACCAGAAAACGGCATCGTCATCGGTATATGATAAGCAGCGCACTTGATATCCAACGGTGACCCAAAACAGCAATATTTTTTAGTTTGACCTGACCTGGAAGGTCAATGACTGACCTGAGAAGGTAAAACTGGGTATCATTGGATTCGACTCTTCCCAAAGAATCTTTTTGGTCTTTACCGCTAAGCTCTATCTCCAACAGGAACGAAATGGCGCGGGGGGGTTGCCACCCCCCCCCCCCATGTGCGTTCTAGGATGGGAAAATGGCATGTGCGGGCGAGGGTTAAGAAAAAGTAAACAAACTAACACCCAGCAAGAGAGAGCGCCGCAGTGAGAGAAGAGCGCAGCGGCGGCAGGTGTCGCCCGCCCGACTGCCGCTCTGCGTAGTTCCGGCCTCCGCCCCTAGATGTCACTAGTGTACGGCGCCTAATGGTAGGCTGTACCGCATAGCACCAGTCGAGCGGCGTGGGCGCGCCGCAAAACGTTGAATGCTTGTTCTACCCACAAAAGGTTCGTCCGCTTATCGGCAAAGCAAAGTCACTGTGCTAGTGTTCTTCTACTTAAGTCAAAACTGAATATGGTAGGTATTATACAGGTACTTCACAGCCTTCTGTTTTCTATACGGAAAAGGTAGGACTAGGTACTACGCAGTACGCAGTTACATGAGTCTCATGAACGCAATTCAGCTATAAATATGCCGCACAGCAAATAAAGAGTTCTTTATCTTATTCTTATTAATTGACCAATGAAAATTTTCGCAGACTTATGTATGAGCTCCTGACTGAACAAAGACCAGAGACCAGCGACCGCCGATAACCAGGCCCGTATCACCACCTCAGCCGGTCCCGTCGATTGCCCATCTCGTCTCGGCTGATCCCGCTTCGTAGCGATTCCGACCACCCTCTGGCCTTTGCAGCGATACCAGGTGATGGCGATGTAACGTAGTTAGACACGGCGCACCTACCTCTCTGGAGAGATACAGACTCAGCGGGACCTCAACGAGCCACAATAGCAGTCTGAAAACACTTCACAGAAAGTCAACTGCCGAACCGGCCAAACTGGAATGATCGGGGAGAGGCAGCCAATTTGTCAAACCGGTAACGTTAGACGATACTTGACCAGAAGTTAATACATTTGTCTCCAAGTTTACAGCAGTGAAGTACCGGGAGAACATACCGATATGTGGTGAGAGGGGCAGTGAACGGCAGCGGCTGGATGATCCGTCTGATAACGGCGTCAAAAGGCGGCCACTTCACGAGCGCATCGGAACAAAACGGAGATGGGCAGCTTTGTCACACGGGCATTATAATGGGGAGATTAGAGTAGTTTTGGGTAGTAAACGGAATTGAACAGTTTGACGGTGCCATTGGTAGAGGCCAATGGGTGGCAATTCCTATTTCCTTATCAGATAAGGCCAGAAATGCGCCGCGACCTATTATCCAGTCCCATATTCCCGAAGGAATTTTTGTTACGAGCTTCGAGATCACTTTCAAAGATGTCTACTTAAGAAAGTCAAGAAAACAAGGAATATGAAGCAGGAAAACAATATAAAAAACGGAAAAAATGTTTGCAATTTACAAAAAAAAAATGTTGTGAATTGCGAAATGCTCCACTTAAAATACAGGCGGCCATCAATTTACTGTTACATGGGTTACAATAACAAATTAAACAGTCGAATGCCCAAGCATATTTTCATTTATCATCTCCTCAGACACCGAGTCATTTCAGGCCACACAGTCTCCTCCGTCCTGCCCCTCCCGGTCCATCCCCTCCCCGTGCCCGAGTGTCTCGGCGGCCCGTGTCGGCGGCGCGGGCCGGCGCCGGCCCCAGTCCCCTGCCGACATGCGCCCGATAATCTGTCAGCCGCCCCCAGGGACATCTGTCGGCAGCACATCCAACTAGCGCCGGCCGCGCGCCGCCCGGATGTGATTATCAATCCGACCCGGCGCGCCGGCCGCTAACGGCGCCCATGTTTAGTTGATGCCAGTATTTCTCCCGGGAGGCGATTTCAATTACATGGCGGCATCAAGTTTTCAGCGTCCGACGATTGATTCGTCCAATTTGCCGCCGGGGAGCGTCGCCGCGCGGCGCCGCCGAGAGGCTGGGCGCGGCGGCGACCGGCGCCCCCCGCACATTGTCATTCTAATATATTCCGGAAACAAATTGAGTAGAAAGAAAAGCACTCGTGGGGGCCGCGCACGATTGAACCGGCCCGAATAAAGTTAACTTTGAGACGTAAACGGGGGTCGTAAAGTGCGCCGGTGGCGGCGCGGCGGCGGCGTCGGGCAGCGCGCGGCCGGGAGATTTGCTGCCTCTGCGACACGCCGGCGGTGTTGGACGACATCGGACGACCACGGCGGGCGGCGCGCCGCATCTCAACGAGTCGCCGGCGGCGGCCGCGGCGCGCGCGCCATTGATTGGCCGCCGGCCGGCGCGTCAGGTGCCGCCCGGCCACTGAGAGGTCGATCGGCGCGGCGGCCCGGCCGGCCACGGCCCGCGCTCATCAGGACACGCCGCTGATTACCCGCAGCGAGGTGTATTGAAACGGAGCCGACCACGGGGGGACGGGGGGTCAGCAGGGCGGGACGTGAAGCCACCGACACAGAATCACAGGGCGACTCACACGGACACTCAATAAACATTACACAAAACACTTCCTCGAGTCACACCTCTGTTCTCACAGACACGAGTGACCTTCAGCACCGCATGATTCAGGCTCACACTCAGCGTCCCACAGCCCTCCGGCCCCAGCGAGTCGACGGCGCACTGTCCTCCCGCCCTCTCCCCGGCCCACCCAGCTGGTGATGTGCTCAGGAGCGGCGCCGCCGCCCGCCCGCCGCCGGCCGTCCCAGCAGATGATGATGATGAGGATGAGATCAGGGCGGCGTGCGGCTACTCGATCTCCCCCAGGTAGATCTGCTTGTCGCTTGCCGCCGACGCCACTGAAAGAAAGAGGCAGGGGCGCGCTGTGAAAATCTGGCAACTATACGAGTATGTCCATGCTCACAGTTTAGTGCGTAGATTGTCTTAGGTCAGTGGATATTAATGTTTGATAGTTTGAACAAATCACGAGGCACTGTCAATGCCTTATTAATGATATCACATTTAATTCAAACCACACATAGTCATGGAAAACTGCATGGTAAGAGCAAGAGTTAAAGAGCAGTCTAGGAACATGAGTGCTAAATGCTACTACTGCCGCTGTCGCTGGAAATAGGTAGGGAAAAACTGACCAGAGTAATTATAAGACCCCCGTCACACTGCATGCATTTAATAACACTATAACTGCAACCGATTTGCGGTTGGAGGCTTTCGTAGGGGAGCCGCGGCAACAAGGTGGCTAATTCATGTCAACGACAGGGATACTGTCACAGACAAAACGGTCCCATACAGAAACGTTATATTCGAGGCACACGGGACATTTCACAAACTGCTATCAGCATAAATCGGCCTCAAACGCCGCATATTTCATGGGGAAGCCGCAACACTGCTCATTTGTGGCACCTGGTCGATACAATGACACAATGCCTGGTATAGTCCCAAAACGTACGGTCGGTTCGAAGTTTACGGTTGTCATACATATTTAACCAAGTGTTAGGAGAGGCGGTTAACGTGTAAATAATTCTCTTTTGACCTCGAAAACTCTGCAGCGGTTGTGAATCAAGACTTGAAGGCTATCGAAATTGAAAAGAATGAAATTTTTGAATGGCTTGCCAATAAAAGCCAAGTGCCGGTATAGGTGAAGATAATTTCAACATTTTGCTTCGTCCCAAATCATCGAGCGCTGCCACTATCCCGTAATCCGCGCTCTCTTCGCCCTGGTCATGGATAAAGGTACCTACGGACACTGGCCCGGACACTACCCGGGCACCGGCTCGGCTACTACCCGACCCGACCCGGATACTCACGGATGGGCTCGTTGGGGTGGAACCGCGAGTCGTTGACACTACCCGCGTGTCCGGGTAGTTTGTACAATATCCGCCGGCTGGTCGTGTCCCAGATATAGACGTGGCGGTCCGAGCTGCCGGCCGTCACCTTCCTGCCATCTGGCGACCAGTCGCAGCGCAACAGGTTCTGGAAACGACCGGCAGATGTCAGACAAGTGCCCTCACTGGCGAAAGTGACAGTCGTCATCAACGTGAGAGCCACCAAACACTGCTTTCCCCGATTGCTGCATCAATAACACTACACAGTACACATGACAAGTGCAGCAATTTACCAATTCCAGTAATTGCTATTCACGCTTCAATTTCAACAACTCCATGTTTTTACCACACGGACATTCCCTGGTATCCCTCCAAACTGCCTCCCACCTTCTCGAAGTTGTGCTGGTGTCCGGTGAGGATCTTGAGGCAGCGCTCGCTGGGCGCGAACGGGCGCACGTCCCAGATCCTGAGCGAGTTGTCCATGGCGTTGGTGAGCAGGTACGAGCCGTCCGGGGAGAGCGCCATACCGGTCACCGTGTCCGAGTGGCCCTTCATCCGGTACAGCACGGCGTTCTTGCGCAGGTCCCACACCTGAAGACATGGGGGTTCAGAAGTGAGGGGGTGGTCGCTGGTCCCACACCTGAGCGGGAGCAAATGCACAGCAGATGCCCGCAGACACCGGCAGCCGCCGGTAATAACTACGCGAGAGAGCTGTTGGCTGGGTCCAGCCCCTGGCTGGGAGTGAGGGTGGCAGTGATATGAGATGGTCGTTTGTTACCGATACTACTGCCGTGGGACAGCAGGTTCAACACTTCAGTCCCTCACGTACATAATTCCTACCAACAAACTGCCCCAATTCAGTACCGCTTCCTTTAACACGCCGCATGCTCGCACCTCTCACTGTCCCGAACTGGCCCTGTTCTATTCTGCGGACCTGGCCTGGCCCCGCCCTCTCCCGCTGACCTGGACTGAACCAATCTGACCTGGGCTGAACCGATCTGACCCGGACTGAACCGATCTGACCCGGACTGAACCAATCTGACCCGGACTGACCTCGGCCCCGTCCACTCACCCCGCTGACCCGCACTGACCTTGACCTCGTTGTCGAGTCCGCTGGAGAGCACCTGTTCGGCAGTATCGTTGAAGGCCACCGCCGTCACCTGGTAGGTGGTCTGCAGGGTCGAGGTGGGCGTCTTCCTCCGGCCGTCCCAGATCCGTACCGTCGAGTCGTCGCCGCCCGAACAGAGCAGCGTGGGACCGCGCCGCGCCGACGACACGCAGTTGACGAACGTCGAGTGACCTGCGAGACGAGGGAAGGGGCGTTATAGATGAGAAAATTTACATCTAACTAGAAGCTTACGTGCATATGAAAGAGCAGAGTATGTGAAAATCCTGAGCCACTGGTAAAAGTAAAGGTCGGGGTCGTAGGTTACAGATAAAATCACGTCAAATGGCCAACACATGGGATCGCCGAAGAAGTAAAGGTCGGGGTCGTAGGTTACGGATAAAATCACGTCAGATGGCCAACACATGGGATCGCCGAAGATGGCATTCAGGTGTCGTTGCAGTAGTACTCAGTACCCACGCCCGCCGCTACTGGAGCCCCCCCCCCCCTCCCCCGGCGGCCGGCGCACCTCTGAGTTTTCGGACGCGCAGTCCGCTGGTCACGTCCCAGATGGCCAGCGTTTTGTCCGTGCTGGCCGTGTAGAGCCGGTCACCGTCGGTGGAGAAGCACAGCTCCATTACGGCGCCAGTGTGGCCCGTCATCATGGCAAAGTTCTCACACTCGCCGTACGTATTCCACAGCACTGCCCGGGCACAGGCGCTTACAGGTCAGTCACACACGGGACAAAGTGCAAAGAGTGACTCACACAGCTGCACTGCCAGCAAACACATCAGACGGGTTACACACCACTGCCTGTGCACAGGTCAGACTCGAGAAAAGACTCAGACAAAAGAACTATCGTACCGACGATTTTCTTCATAAAGGTCTGCAGTCTGCACCTATTCTAAAGCACAAGAGTAGCCACGTTTCTTAATTATGTCAATGTTTATATTCGGCATTTTCCCCAGACCAGCGCTAAACAGAACACACTGCAAAGTCCCGATCTCCGCCGCCCAATCCAGAAAGTACGGGTGAACGGCAAAAATGAGGGCCGAGTGTTCATATAGTACATCTTTTCAGCAGTGCAAATCTGTGTACTCACGGATTTGTCGGTCGAACCCGGTGGAGGCGAGGAACTGTCCCTCGGGGTGGAAGCGCACACTGAAAATGTCCCCACTGTGACCGGTCAGCAGCATGATGGGCGACAGCAGACTGGACGTCCGCTCCGGCCCCTGTGCCTGCAGACACAGTGGTGCGAGTGAGACGGGGTACCTATGTATACTGATACTGATAGGGATGTGTATACTGTATGCAGCATAGTTTTGAATGCCAGGTAAGAAACTATGGCATAATGAGACAAAGTTAAGTTTGTGTGGAACATCTAAACTATGTTTTGTCATGGTAGTCAGCTAATTCTTGCCATCTCATCTAAATTATCATATGCAATCAGTCTTTATACTTACATAGCCAGCAACTTGTCCAGCATTGCCAGAGACAGCCAGAATGCCAGTCTTTTGTTTCTTGGCTGGCACTAGTTCCATTTCATTGGCTCTCCTCTTCTCTGCCATAGCCATTTTGGACAGTCAAGTAGCTGGGCAGCAAACTACTGAAAAATAAATTCACATTTGTGAGCCTCTGCCACATGACATGGGCTCAAAGTATGCTCAAACCTGCTGGCTGCCAGACTGCAAATCATGGCAACACAGATGTCAAGCTGGCTGCAATCGCTATTGTGACAAATCTGCATCAGCATGGTCCACTGGGCACTGCATACACAACTTTAATGGTTAGGGGCTTATTAGATGAGCCAGCCCAGTCCGCACCTTGTTCCCAATCGTCCAAGGTCTGTCAGTGATAGATATTTATACAGTATACTCATGTTTATGTGCATCTGAGGGGTGTACACGGGCACCGCACACTGCTGCGTGCGGTGTGTGCGGTGCGTCCAGCAGGCGTGGGGGTAGGGGATGGGTAGGCGGTTCTGACGTCACGGCTGCGTGCGGTGGACGGTCCGCTGTGGCCAGTCCCGACCGGCCACAGCGATCGCTGTGTGCGGTGACGGAAGGCTGACATAGGGGCGCAGTGGGCGGAGCTTCGAGGCTGTGTGCGGTCCGACCGCACACAGGGCCCGTGAGCAGCCCTCTGATTTCCACGTTTTCAGGCAAAAGGGTTGGGTTGGGAAGATACTTGGTTTGAATGCAGAGTGCAATCCACCACCTGTATGTCAACAGAAACATGGATTTTACGGTGATCTATATAGGTACCTACTCTGGATTTTACCGGTCTGGCATCATCCCGCATCAACACTTAACTTCAACCAAATCAAAATGCCGTAGTCGTGGTCAAGGACGTGGTCCAGGCGACGTGATGAGAAAAGAAATTGAAACGCTACTATATAATAGCGCCTTGCTATACCATAGTAATCTCGGCTATACCCTCTATAGTCTATACCTACACTGACACAGGCAATAACACAAAGCAAAGATTACACGGATTACACACACAAGCCAATATAGAGGCCTCCACGGTGACGTCACAAACTATTTTTCGTAACTGGCAACGCTGACTGGTAGGCAAAACAAACCGGAGGGCTGTTCACGGGCCCTGTGTGCGGTCGGACCGCACACAGCCTCCAAGCTCCGCCCACTGCGTCCCTACGTCAGCCTTCCGTCACCGCACACAGCGATCGCTGTGGCCGGTCAGGACTGGCCACAGCGGACCGTCCACCGCACGCAGCCGTGACGTCAGAGCCTTCTACCCATCCCCTACCCCCACGCCTGCTGGACGCTCCGCACACACCGCACGCAGCAGTGTGCGGTGCCCGTGAACACCCCTCGGGCGATCGCGGCCATTTGCACTGGCGTCTCGTGGTTTATCGGATTGTGAGAGCTGTTTTCGATAGTTTTTTCTCTAGTTTGTGTTTTTGTTCGTGATGTACGACTCCTCACGATACAAAGCAAAGCTCTGCCTGGGAGAGAAGGTATTTCCTGATCCGTACAAGATCGATGAGGCCTACTGGATCTCGGACAGTTTCGAGAAGCTCCCACTCGTGCTGTTTCCAGATATATTTGCGTATCTGGTCTCCACTTCTGGCACTTTCACGTCCGACAACTTGAAAGCTTTCAAGTCACTAGATGCTTGGAATGTGTTTTTGTCTAGTCATGTTGGCCCACTCAAGCTCTGCTCAGTGGATACCAGTGGTGTTTTCGTGAAGGCAGAGGTACAGGCCAGTCAGACGGCTTCAAAGTCGTATAATGCATGGGTGCTCTGCCACCCCAATGGCAGTGTTATGTCTGCCCACTGCCAATGCATGGCAGGACTTGGAGAAGTGTGCAGCCATGTGGCAGGTGTGCTCTACAAGATCCAAGCAGCCGTACTCCACGGACTGACAGAGAATGCACCAACAAGCAAGGCCTGTCAATGGAATCATCAGACAGCTACGAAGAAGGTGGAGCCCAGCAAGGTCCTTGACATTGCAGCAGACATGGGCATTCCTGCCAAGCGAAGCAGCGTCGAGTTCATCATGTCTGATGCTGCATTTCAGACAGAGCTGCAGGATCTGCCTGCTGGGTGTGCGCTGCAAAGCTCTCTGCCAGTCAGTGGTGATGTTGTGGATGGCAGGACTGAGCTGCCATATCCCATCTACAAGATGTTCTCCATCTTGAAGAAGATAGCTCCTAGTGATGCTGAGCCATCGAGGAAGTACTGTGAGATGCTGGTTAACAAACTGAAGAAGATGTACCCGAGTGATGTGATAGGGAACGTCGAGCGAGCTACTGTGGATCAGGGAGGATCGAAGGAGTGGCTTAACCAGAGGCATGGAAGGGTGACTGCTTCAGTGTTTGGTGAGGTGGTGAGCCATGTCGAGGGGGGACGACAGAGTGCATCATTGGTGCGTAAGATCGTGGAGCCAGCGTCCTGTAAGCTTACAGTGCCTGCTGTAGTCTGGGGACATACACACGAGGCAGATGCTTGTGTTGCTGTAGAAGGGGTTCTGAGCTCTATGCATAGTGAGCTGACAATTCGTAAGTGTGGGCTGTTCGTCAGCCCTGACCACCCCTACCTGGCTGCCTCCCCAGATGGTATCATTGAGTGTGCATGCTGTGGGACATGGGTTCTGGAGGTGAAGTGCCCCTTTAGCCTGAAGGACAAGTCTCCGCAGGAGGCTGGGTTTCTAGATGAGAATGGGCACCTCAAAGCAGAGCACCCGTACATGATGCAGGTGCAGGGACAGATGATGGTCTGTGGGCTAAAGTCATGTGCATTTTGTGTGTATGTGCCGGGGCAGAAGCCCCATGTTCTGGTGATAAAGTACATGGAGAGCATGGGTGACTACCTGGTGAAGGTTCTTGAAACCTTTTATGTGAAAGAGATTGTGCCAGCACTCCTGAAGTGATGTCATAGCTAGCGACTGTGCCGGGTGCCCATTAGTGCACATGTAGGTTGTTCTGTCACTGACACCAGATGGTCGTGTTGATTTTGCTATGCTGGCTGCATTGATCATCATTGTCTGGCTGACAAATATATCTTTTGTGCTAGCTTATCTTTATAACAAGGGTTTGGGTTATGGCGTGATGCTGGTGCTACAGGTGATGCTGATTACGAACTATAACATCTGTTTGTGACCTCACACAAATCATTTGCAAGTCTGTTTTATTCATCAACAATGTCACTGTCATGAAAACAAACTCAATTGAGTTTGTTTTCAATACATGATCGGAGCATGTTACCAGCACTTAGTACCATCTAATCATGCATTCCATGGAGTTTTGGGGCATCTCACGGAACCACACTTGGATGCAGGTTTATGATACCTGCACACACACAAACAACATCATCTACCTGCGTGTACATGGTGACTGGCAATGTAGACTTCAGAATGCGAAACTTCGTTCTCATTCTACCAATGACTCTTTCAACATGGATTCTAGCTCGAGACAAAAGCCTAGACTTCTCTACTTCTGCCCTAGGAAGCTGGGCTTGACCACGAACAAATGCTGGTGTCAAAACTTTGAGATTGTACAGAGCCATTTCTGTAGAAACGGTAAACCCCCGGTCCGCCAACACCACATCGAATGGATCAAGGATGTCAATGAGCTCAGATGACAGTGTGATCTTTTTGTCTGATGATCGACCTCCCCAGACTGGAGACAAGAATGTAATTGCCCCAGCTGGTGACACACCAATTAGAACCTTGCATGTGTTATGGTGTTTGTAGGAACTGAACATTTTCTTTCTGGATGTGAGATGCCTTGGCCTGTCTGTAAAAATTTCAAAGCAGTCAACTACCACTGACCTTTCGAAGTTCGGGATAACGGAAGCAGAGAGGGAGGTTGGCCTGTATGCTTTCCCTTGATGGCCAGATGATGAGCCTCCTGCACATTGCAGCCATTGGACTGAGGGTTCCTTGAACGATCTTTGATACCAAGGACCTGCTTACACCAAAACGCCATGCAAGATCCTGATTGGTTGTCCCAAGCCTGAGCTTCATCAACACCATAAGAACCATGTTGTGCACAGACAACCTGGATATTTTGCTAAGGTCGCACCCCAGACAAAGAACCCTTACAAACCACATGAACATTGCTAGGGATGGGAACCCGGTATAAAATTTAAATTCCTCTTCATTCTCTTTCAAAGTCTCAAATGAGTTATGCTTTTTGCTGTTCAACAGCTGCTCACACTCCTCCTTCAACGATGTGACTTCAGCCTCCAGCTTATGAATTCTATCAAGTAGAGCTGAGACGACTGTCTTGTGGTTTTCTCCCCATGTACCATCAGTATTGCAGCCAACCTCACGGGTGCCAGTTGCTGCTGACATCTCCAGCAGTGCCTCTGCAGCTCTGGCCTCTTCAATGCTGACCTGCAAGATAACAAAAAGTAGGCATTGTTATCAACAACATAGAGATAGTTACCTACTTCTTGGTGCCAGGAAAACTGGTTGAACTGGTAGGTACCTAAGTAGCCAATGTTTGTAGCTCACCTGAGACACTGGTTCTTCGGCTGTACACATTTCATCTTGATCTCCAGATGAAGCCGACAGGTGGAGAGACGCATGCTGTTTCTGAGCTGATCTTTGTTGGGCCCTTTCTGCTCTCTTCACTCCGCCGATCCCAACGTTGCTGGCATGCTGAGATGACGGGAAGTTGAAGACACTTGGTACCCAGTCAGGACTCCCTTTCTCACTGACTGGTGCCCCTGTAATTGAATAAATATATCAAAATTTGTCTAGGTGGTGGATCAACTTTCACTCAGTGTTACAAAGTATCATATTATTTACATATTCGCAATAATGTCAGACCTCCGTTAATCAGGCCAACATACATGTACTCACGTGCTTTACTTTTACATTCAAAATTTAGGAAAATCAGTGTGTGGAACTGAGAAAAGAGTGGGAATAAAATGCGACAAAGAAACATGGATTATTAAGTCATAACATAATGGCGACGAGGATGAGATGAATTTAACGTTATAAAGTAACGTAAACTTAGAGCGCCGATTAACGTAACGTTAACGCTACTAAAAGTAGGTAACGTAACGGAAATTAAAATGGCATTAAGTGTAGATGCCCCTCAGAAATATAGGGAGGGAGAGGACTTTGACATGTGGATAGATTCCTTTGAAATCTATTTATGTGCGCTTGGGATCGAGGAACCAAAACGGAAAAGAGCTTTGATGCTACATCTACTTGGAACCGACATACAGCAGCGGCTGAAAGACATCGACACGGTCTACGAAAATAATTTAGAGGGAACCGATGAGTACGAGCGTACCAAGCAGCAGCTGCGATCGCTGTTAAAGCCACAGGTCCGAACGATTTACGAGAGAAATATCTTTCATAGCATGAACATGACTGATAACGACGAGAACGTCCGAGATTTTGTTGTGCGTCTGAGAAAGCAAGCAGATAAATGCAATTTCTCGAGGGAACAGAGAGACGAAATGATCCGGGATATACTCATAGCAAGATGTCCCCATCAGACTTTGCAAGTTCGTCTGCTCGAAGCCCATAAACTGACTACAGAAGACGCGGTAAAAATATGGGAGTCCTATCTCCAAGTACGGACCCAATGCCAAAAACTTCAAGAGAAGAACGGCAAAGAGAAGGACCCCAGTCCAGAAACTGAGCAGTCTGAGCCACAAAACGAAAACGTCAACAGAGTTCGACAGAAATATCGAGCTCCATCCAAGCCATTCAACGGACAGGGACAGCGAACTACCGCCGGAAGCGGAATTCCTGCCTGCACTCGGTGCGGACGAAGAGGGCATAATTCAAACGCCTGTACCGCAACGAAGGGTCAGACCTGTCACAAGTGCGGCGGCAAAAATCATTTTGCCAGGGCTTGCTGGTCTACTCAGACACGGCAGCCACAGACAACTCTGGAACCTAGAAGACGGGTAAACCACCTACAAGAAGAAAGCGCTGAACAGGGTGAAGATGAGCTGGTTTTCTCCACCAGA